ATAAGTTGTGACTTCCAGATACAGAAGTTCTGGTGGTGTCAAGATTGAAGCATTCGGCTGCTAACCAAGGGGTCAGGGGATTGTTTGGTTATATGGTAAGGAGCCCTAATGGCACAATGGTTAAGTGCTTGGCTTCCAGTAATTTTCTCTTTGAGAATGGCAGTGGATTAAAATGTCAACATGTCTGCCCTCCTTTGTTTTAAATCACACAGTAAAATGTTTATTTAGGTAAATCAGAATCTCATAGTACGGTTATGAAAAACAACATGAAGATAAATATCTTAAGATGTATAAGATCAAGATAGATCATGTCTTCTATGTAATAGTCATATATACCTTTCTGTAGATATTGAGTGAATAGTAATAATAAAATTACAGAAGAATCCCAGAATACTTGATTGTGCACATGCAAAACCCATACTTGACTCATAAAGCAGTCATTAGAACAGAGCAAAGAAACACTGCATGGTTCATTATTAGGAAGGAGTATGTCAGGGATGTGCCCTGTCTCCATACTTTTTTCAATCTGTATGTCGAACAGATCATTCAGGACACTGGATTTTACGAGGAAGAATGTGGGGCATCAGGATTGGAGGAAGACTCATCAACAACCTGCTTTATGCAGATGATGCAACCTAGCTTGCCAAAACTGAGGAGGACTTGAAACATTTGCTGCAGAAGGTCAAAGACTATAGTTTTTAATACGGGTTGGAACTTAACGTCAAGAAGGCAAAGATTCTCACCACTGGGCCAATTGGCAACACTATGATGGATGGAGAAGAGACTAAGGTGTTGACAATTTCAGCTTGCTTGGCTCCACAATCAACACTCAATGTGGAAATTATCGAATAATATCATTGATATTACATGCAAGCAAAATACTGCTGAAGATAATTCAAAAACAGGTGAAAGAGTCCATAGATAGGGAACTAGAAGTTCAAGCAGGATTTAGAAGAGGGATATCATTGCTTATGTCAGATGGATCTTGGCTGAAAGTGAGGAATACCAGAAGAACGACTATTTGTGCTTTATTGACTATGCAAAGGTGTTTGACTGTGTGGATCATAATAAGCTGTGGCTGACATTGAGAAGGAGTCCCTAAGCCCTTGATTCTGCTCATGTGGAACCTGTACCTGGATCAAAAGGCTGTTGTGCAAATGGAGCAGGGGAGCACTGCAAGGTTCGGCACTGGGAAGGGAGTGTCCACTCAAGGCATTGGCACCAAGTCAAAACTGACTCATAGCTGACCCTCCAGCAGGTTTCTCAGGGCTATAAAATCTCATTGGAAATTGTTCCTTTTTGTTCCATGGAGTGGCTGGTAGATTTGAATTGCCAAGGCCCCCAGTGCCCACCTACAAATATAAGCAGGATGCTAAAAATATTCTAGCCATGTGGCTTTTAAAAAATTTACATACACAATTTCTGTTGATATATAAATACCTAGGAGTGGGACGACTGGGTCATAAAATATGCTGTGAAGTGATATCCTTCACTGGAAGCAATGCTGCTTCTAATATACAGCACTACAGTGGACAAGGTATTCCATTAAGCCCACAGAAAACAGTTTTGGCAAAAGCACTGCATCTAAGGAAAGCAAGTATCTATCCAAAGTAAATGTCTGTTCCATTAAAAATGAAGTACTGACCCTTTTGATAGAAACAATCCAGTGAAACAATCTGCTAGTGAGTTGCTGACTGATCATCCTGGGAGATGGTGATACACTGGAGACTCAGTGTCAGTTCGCTGCTGGCCAATTGGGCAACCCAGCAGTGGTTATAGTCAAGTCAGCCTCAGTCAAGGGCAGACCACCTTGCATGACCTCCATCCCCGCCACTATGACTGTTCTGCTCATGAACCCCAAGAGCAGCTGGTGAAAGCAGCTGACAGGTATCCACAGAATGGGTCCTTCTAGCTAATTACTAAACTCCTCCTTTTCCGAGGTTATTTTTTTATTGAATATTCGCACAGGACATAAATTATCTTTATGCTTTCTATCCATATAAGGAGGTCTATTCACCTACTTTCCCCTAGAACTCTATTATCACTCCCAGTCATGTTTTTCTAAGCCCCTGACAATTACAGGCAACTATGGGCTGCAGATCTCTGACCTTTTTACCTTCCAAGTAAAATGAACATCCAGGCACATTACTCAAAGTTCTTCCAACAGGAGGATTTCCCTAGCACTCTCCTTCAGGGATATCCAGAAAGGGTCTGAAGTGCTATACTGTTCATCTATTTCCTTCTAGATAGTGCCTGACTATGGCCTAGAGTCACTTAGACTGAATTTTCTCTTCCTCTATCAACTGACCATAGTGAATTCTCAGCAGCGTATAGATGCAGGCTGGGAGAGAGAAAGTAATACAGCAAGAGTGGAGCCATGGGCATTTGAGACATTTCTTATGTAACTTACTTGTGCTTTCAAGTCCTGCTTAAGTCCAATACTGTCTATACTGCTTGCAATTGCTCATGGACTGGGACTGTGAATGTCCAGCCTTATAGTTTTGCGGATCAGACAACACCCAATTCACAATGAACTGCGCAGGTCACATGGTAACTTGGTGGATGACAGTTAAGCATTCTGCATCTGTCAAGGCCTAGTACCAAGCTGCTTTCAAAAAGGAAAGTAGTTATCCAGAAAGGAAGACATGACTTCACCCCAAAATTCCAAGGGTCTGCTCTGTGATCCCACTGACACTTCACATTCATAGTATTGAACTGCTGGATCATATGAATCAAGTGATAACAATTAAGACTTCCTGAAGAGTATATAACCAAAAAAGAGTCAAGGTGGTGCAGTGGGTAAGTGCTCAGAGTCTAACTGAAAGATATAGAAATAAATTTAGTGCTATGGCTGCTATAATCATAGTTGTCTCTAACATTGTATTTCATAATTTTTGCAAGCCTTAAACAACAGTTAATAGGGTTACTAGGAGTCATAGCCAACTTGATGGCACCTCTCATGGAGTACCACCACCACAGCAGTGAAGACAGCCACAGCATCCTGAACAGACTAGTTCCTGCCGATCTTCTCTTCACTTTTGATGCCCAGATTTCCTTCTTTCCATCCATTTCTGGAGCCTGGTTCTCCAGGCTTCCTCTTTATTATGTTAGCTACCCAATTTCTTGCCTATAAATTACTTTTCTGATAAAATCAAAACCAAACCAAACCCAAAACAACAAACCCAACTTCATTGTTGTATTAACCTCCAGAGTTTATACTAAACATCGGAGTAAATCTTTTTAAGATAAATCTAATATTTTCGGCTATCCGGGAAGATTTTAAACAGCAAACAACCAAAATGACCTAGGAATGCAGCATAAGGCAAGGTACTCCAGTGGCCTAGTAGGTAAGGAGCTGCACTGTAAATGCAAATGCTTGAGGTTGAAATCCAGCAATACCCCTGGAAGGGATGGCATCTCAAGTGAAGGCACTTTCTCAACAAGAAGGAAGCCCAGAACCAAGAAACTTAGCTGGAGCCTAGCCCAGGCTTAAGAACAGAAATCAGAGTTTGAGATCTACAAATCAACACCAGTAGAGGTTATTTGTTTTAAACCCTAATACTCCTAGTTCCTCCATACCTTTTGTACCTGTATGCAGAACACATCATCCAGGAGGCTGAGCTCTATGAGGAGAAATGCGGCATCAGGATTGGTGGAAGATCTATCAGCAAACTGCATTATGCAGATGACACAACCATGCTCGCTGAAACTGAGGAGGAGCTCAAGCGCTTGCTGCAGAGGGTCAAGGACTGCAGCCTTCAATGGATTGAGGCTCAATATTAAGAAGACAAAGATACTCACCACTGGACCAATTGGCAGCATCAGGATGAATGGTGAAGAGATTGAGTTTGTTCACAGCTTTAGTTTGCTTGGCTCCACAGTCAACACTCTTGGCACCAATAGCCAGAAAATTAAAAGATATATTGCAATGGGAAAGTCTGCTGTTAGGGACCTCTCCAAAGTACCATTGCTCCAAAGAGCAATGGTGTCACTCTGGAGACCAAGGTGTGTCTGACACATGCCATGGTCTTTGTAATCACTTGTTATGCATCAGAGAGTTGGACAATGACTAGGGAGAATAGAAGGAGAAGTTATGCCTTTGAGCTGTGGTGCTAGAGAAGAGTATTGAGGGTACCATGGAGTGCCAAGAAAACAGATTCATCCTGGAGAGGGTTAAACCGAGCTGTTCCTTGTAGGCAAGGATTCTGAGGCTTCCTCTGACATACTTTGGACATGTAAGGAAAGACCAGTCCTTGGAGAGGGACATCATGCTTGGGAGGGTGGAGAGACAACGCAGGAGGGGAAGGCCCTCTATGAGGTGGATTGATTCAGTGCCTGGGGTAATCGGGATGGGTGTATCGGAGACAGCGCGATTGGCACAGGACAGAGCAGAGTTTAGAGTTGCTATAACAACAACTCCTAATTCCCAAACTGATGAATCTTGACTCTAGTGTACCCTCGAGCTGGAACCGCTGAATCGGACTCAGCTGAAAGCTGGTTTTCAGAAGCAGTAAATTGCACAGATAGTTATTGTGGCAATGGGGGCAGATGTGCCAGAGATGGAGGGACTGGCTCTAGATAGGGCAAGGTTTGAGTCGCAGTCAACTCCATCGCACATACTAACAAATCACACCGGAGGAGACCGCCCATGCTTCTCTCGCGAAGCTGGTGGATTCGAACCGTGTGTGTTTGGGTTGGCAGCGTCACTCCTTACCACTCCTTACCACTACGCTACCAGAGCTCCCTTACTCATGACTACTTAAACTCACAGGTCACGCTAGAAAGACCTCCTTCACGTTAACACTTCGGACTCGGTGAACCATACACCCTTCCCGCTCGCTCCACCGGGCGCAAAAAGCCAGGGACGTCTGTGCGCATGCGCGGGTCCTCGGCGGAAGCGCGCTGGCGCGGCCTCTTGGTCGTTCAAGCTGCGCTGCCCGGCTGTCCCGCCCAGCGGTTGAGGCGGGTACCGAGCGGCCTCCAGGACTGGTGGAGGGGCCATGGAGCCCCTGCGGAGGCTCCACGAGGCCGCCGTCCGGCTTCTGCTATGCGGACCCTGGGCCTCAGCCTCCGCTTCCGGCCCAAAGCCCCGCGCCTCGGAGGTGCTGACGTTGCACCTGCAGCAGCGGCGCCTGCCGCACTGGACCTCCTTCTGCGTCCCCTACAGCGCCGTCCGCAACGACCAGTTTGGCCTCTCGCACTTCAACTGGCCGGTGCAGGGCGCCAACTACCACGTCCTGCGCACCGGCTGTTTCCCCTTCATCAAGTACCACTGCTCCAAAGCCCCCTGGCAGGACCTCGCCGGGCAGAATCGGTTCTTCACGGTGCTCAAGGTCATCAACCTCGGTGAGTGGCCCAGCCAGGCGGCCCCGGGCTGCGGCCAGTGCCCCGCGCGGAGAAGAAGGCCGCGTCCGCCCCAGTTAAGCACGACCCGCGCCATGCGGCCCAGGACGCATCAGGTCACGCCTACTGTTTACAAAGCACGCCGACAAACGTGGTGTCACGGAGGCCGAAACCCCGGCCAAGGTCCGGCCCCACGCAGGCTCCCCCGTCGCATCCTGCACAGTGATGTCCCAGACACACCACCCCTGTCCCTTCCCACTGTGCCATCCTCGCAGGACTAAGCTCTTCCTTGGCTCTTTTGTACTCCTTCCACCCTTCCCCATTGTTTAGGTTAAACTGCTGATTACTGAACTGGTCCCCCTTTTGCTCTCCTAACCGGGCTTAGCCACGGACCTGTCCAGCGGGACCACCCTGCATTACTGCCGGGGAGGGGCATTCCCGCTCACTCCCTGTTAACTGGCCAACGTTCCCACTGGAATGTGGCCGAGAAGTTAAGAAACGTATTACTGTGTGTCAGGATTCGTCCCCCTCAGCATTACTTTTTTGGTTTAAGTTTCTTTGTTTCCATTATATGAAATCTCAGCAAGTTCGTTTTACTGAAAAGACTTAAAGCATTTTCACCAGACACATTAGCTGCCTCGGGTTCTGGGCCTAAAAGACTCTCCTCGTTTAATATTTGTATGTTTCCTGCTAATATTCTGATTCTGAGAGTCGTTACTCTTGCTAGATTTCATTTTCTTCTAGTTAATGGCTAAAGAGGTATGAACATGAATATAACATTTATCCATTAGTGAAAGATACAGAGGCCTCCGAGGTGTTTAGAACCAATTCATTGATAACATTAGTCTAAGTTACAGGAATTCTGAATCTGGACTGGGAGCTGGAGTATGTTACCCAGCAACTTTCTTTTAAAATCACAATTAAAGCTAAATTCTCTGTTCAGCTGTAAAAATGCACAATTTAATAGCTGATGGTGTGGTGTATGTTTATTTTTGTTTATAACTAAGATATCCCACTCATAGGTTTTTTAACCAGTGCTCCACTGGGACTATGGGTTCAGTCCAGTGTAGAAAAAGATTATTTAGCAATGTGCAATCTTTTAAAAATATTATCTTTACAACACTGTCTATAGCGTATGGTTAATTTTGAAGCTGATACTGAGTTTGAGAGGTGAGATGACTTGGAAAATCCAATTCAGAATGATTTAGACTAGCCTGATGACTAGATTCAAGGACATTTTCAGAAGCAGAAGTTCTTCCCAAATTTACAATGTAAGAGATTAGGGAAAATATAACAGGTTATAGGTAAACCCTGAATGAGTATGTTTTTATATAAAAAAAAATTGTCACCATTTAAAAGCTTGCACTTCTTAATGACTAGAGTTTTCTGTTAAATACAGATATTAAGGGAATGGAAGAAGGTAGAATATCCAGAATGTTCCTCACATAGAGAAATACATGTTTCTCTTCAATTGCAGGTTTTGTGTAGAAAAGAAGACCAGAGTGATTTAATGGTCTCTGTGTTCACTAATTGTATGCCTTTGAAAAGTGGGAAAAAAAATTCTTTTAATCCTGCCAACATGGAAATAAGAGGTTTAAGTAAAACAAAAAGGAAAACTTAATTCTCCTGAATGTTACCATACTAATTGGCTTATACTGCCTCCCCCCTCTTTAAAGAGTATTGTATTCATCAATTTGGTACTATTTATTTTTTTATGAAGATAAGGAATGTGAATTGGATGAGAGGATCCTCTCCTATTCTGTGATGTGGAATTGCCCTTATGGATCATTAAATACATATAGTATGTTACCGAAAATACTTGGGATTTTATTCCTTTTCATCTCTTCCAAATTAGTAATTATCTGGGTAATTCATCTTTCCATATTGAAAATGATAAAAGATTAGTTAGACTCATTTGTTTCCTTTCTACTCTGCCCTCCCTTCAGTAGAAACTGACATTTTACTGATGGTTTATCAGGCTGGATATCCTGCTGGGAAGTAGATTGAGATTTAAGAAAATCAGCTCACCATTGGAATGAATGGGTAATCGGAGACTTGCTACCCAAGTTCTAATTTTTTTCTAAGTGCTTAATTTGACAGTGGTTTACCTACTGTTCAGCTAACTCAGAATGAATTATTACACATAGAACTGACTTTCAAATTCATTTTGATGGTAAGAAATGTTTCCATGTGGGAAAAGCTAATTTTTTATGAGATTTTAAGACTTTAAAGCATATGTGTTATAGATAAAGAAGGTGTTTTATTAATGTATAAATTATTTAGGTTGCAAATCTTCCCATTTAGTACATTATTTTTCCCAGATTAAAGAAATAAATGACAAAAAAAAATGAATGTAGAATTTCTGACTCCTATTCCAAGAATCTAGTCTAATCCCTAATAGTGTTATTATTATTCCTAATAAGAAGTAATATAGGTTTTAGTAAGCTAGTGACCTTTAATCAACTCTCCTATTTTAGCTTTACAATATTAGCTATTTATTTGTATGATTTTTTTTCAAATATATGATATTTTTTAAGTATTAGATTTTTAACTAACAACTAGTAAACACTTAAAAAAGTTCTTGGTGTGACAAGCCATTCCTTAAATTTTTGCCCTTTGCATTGTTTAAAAGATATATTTTATTTTCACTAAGAAAATGAATGTTTGTGTCTTGAATTCATTTTTTCCCTTACTTAATTCAGATTTCAATCATTGCATAGTAAACCTGTATTTGAAGTTGTTCTTCTCTCAAAATTACTCTGTACTTATTCCTGTCCTCTTCTGCTTGTTCTTATTTTTTCCCTTGTATACCCCTCCACCTTCATGCCACTTTATTTTCCTTTTTTCTTTTCATAAATGATTTATAAGTAGTAGTATGAGCCTTGGGTTTTTTTTTTTTTTGAGAGGGGGGTGTGTGGGTGTGTGGGGGGGTGTGAGAGAGAGAGAAATCATTAAGGCATTTAGAGATTTTTCTGGGGTATTATCAGGGCAAAAATGACTATATATTGGCAAGATTTTATAGACATTTCAGGAAAGCCTGTAAAAGTGTCATGCTCTGACCCAATATATTCCTAAAAATAGGTACAACCCTGCATTGGCATTTCCCCGTCATCTCATTGCCAGGTAGTGATCTCATGATTCATTTCTGACATCACTGTTGTTGGAATGCAGCTTCAGGGAATAAGCACAAAATAAGTCAGCTGGTGTGTGCTCTCAAAAAGAGTATAACATAGCAAATACCTCTTCAGCAGAAAAGGGAAAAACAAACTTACCTATGTGGTTCATTCTGAGCATATGCTAACTTCCCTCATAATTAGAAAGAGCTATGTTCCAAATATACAGCTTATCTGTTTACATTTAAGTTATTTTCTGAGCAACTCTCACAAGAAAGCAATAAAGTAAATACTTAATGCAGAACCTACAGTATGTGTTGATTCTTGTGCCTGTTATTCTATGTTTTTAATATGGTCATAATCATTGATTTTAACTAAGTCCCTTAAAAAAGGTCAGATTTCCAAAAATGTGTTTTATGTTTCATATATAAGTGATTTACCCATAGATCTGTGTAGTATGTATTTAGTATTGTGGATTGCAAGTGACAGATAGCCTCAAAAATAAGATAAATCTTATCAAATTAAATATTCCAAAGAAGAAATAAGTTGTTGGAGTCTAAAAGTTGAAACAAGATAGTTTTCAAGTCAGTTACACAAATCCTAGTGAGGATATTTCTTTGCCATGCCTGTTATACTAAAATCTTCCTTGCAGTTAAGTTTTACTCTGGGTTTTGAAAGACAAATATTTGACCCAGTTCCTTTTGAGCTGTGCAAAAATTGTTTAACTAACTGTTTTTATTTAAAGAAAGGGAAAGTTGATCTAGTAATTTAAGCTCTAGGCTAAAATCAGAAGCATCTATAACTAAATTCATGAATAGTCTCCTGTTTTCTTATTTGTAAAAAGACTGTAGAATTAGATCATATTTGACAGTAATGAATTAGTGCTCCTAAAGTCCTTTGACTTAAAATTCATATCAGCCTTATCTACAGTATTAAGAGTCTCTAGGCTTACACAGTTTTTGCTATACAGCTAAATTCTTAGACAATCATAGTCGGTATTGAATAGTGTTTTTATAATTTTAAGTTTATTGATAACTGCCGAAAAGTGTTATGTGATTTGTACTGTGACAAAACTGTGGTGTATTATTAGCGAGTATTAATGTTTATGAATAATGTGTTCATTTGTTTTCTAGGAATTCCAACTTTATTGTATGGACTTGGCTCCTGGCTATTTGCGAGAGTCACAGAAACTGTGCATACCACTTATGGACCAATAACAGTTTATTTTCTAAATAAAGAAGATGAAGGTGCCATGTATTGAAAATGATGCATCAGAGAACATAAATATCAGTGGATTTTCTCTGGTGTATATGTGCAATATTTATTTTTGAGCCTTTAAAATAAAACTTTTGCAAACCCCTTTTTTTTCCTTTGCCACAGTGTTTGGTTCTTTAAGATGAATCATTGCCCTCAAGAGGCGAAGCTTTTCATATGTGGTTATATATTGCAGACTCTGTTTAGCCAATGGGAACTACAAATACATAAACTTCACACCGACTTTTTTTCCTCAAGCTAGGTTAAACTACAGATAAAAAATGATTATAATGTGTATAGATTCCATTGTTTGTTATTAATTATTTAAATCATCTCTTTAAAGAGAAAATATAGACACTCAAACAAAGGAAGAAGATAATTTTTTCTTTTTCCTGTAACTTTGGAAAAAGAAAGAGAAGATACTAGGGTATATGGTAGTGATAATGTCCTTGGCCAATCTAAAATTGATAAAAATCTAATTGCATTCTGAAATCTAGGCCATTCAGCTGCCAGGGTTTTAAATGGTTTTAAATGATTTAAAACCTTGTGCCATTTACCTGGATGAAAGTTCAGATGTAATGTTGAAACTTCTTCCTCCTTAAAGAATATTCCCTGGAGAGGGACATCATGCTTGGAAAGGGGGAGAGTCAGTGAAAGAGAGGAAGACTTGATGAGATGGATAGATACAGTGACAGCAGTGGACTTGAGTGTATCAGGGTTGATGAAGATGGCAAAGGATAGGTCAGAGTTCAGATCAGTGGTTCATAGGATTGCTAGGAGTCATATTCAGCAACACCTATCAACAACAGTATTCTATTTTTAATAATGATGACTGTAAAGGCAACAGGGTGAATTGGATGAAAATAGCATGCTGATAAAGTAAGAAAAATTGAGATCTGAAAGGCTCAGAACAATAAATTTTATAACTTTATATGAGCTATTAGCGGAAATGGTACATATCCACAGACTTGGATACTGGAAATGGGAACCAAGCTACAATTGTAAAGATAGGATGGTGATTCTGTTAGGATTTTATTAAGTTAATTGCATTTTTCAAAGCAAAGCCATTTAAAAATTTATATTTTCAGAGGTGGTTAGAAATAGCTATATGAATGGAAAATTTCAGAAATTTTTAATAATTCGAGGAGAATAAACTACAGTCATGCCCTGCATTGGGACTGTTTGACTAGCATGCAACTATGTATTTGTGGTCACAAAAGGCTACAAACCAAAGCAGCTACCATCAGATCTTCTCTAACTCGTAATGATCGTCTGTTACCAGGTTTCTGGTCCTTTTTCCAACAGAGTAGCTGGTAGACTCAAACTGAACCTTTTGGTTAGCAGAACAACACGTTACCACTATGCTACTAGAGTTCCTTAAAGTTTAAATAGAGTCCAGAAGTCTTAATTGGAGAGTGAAACTTCAGGAAGGCAGCGGCTTCCTGTATGGAAGAAGTATATCTTTTACATGCAAAGCAGTTGTGCAGCCAGGTATATAATTACATACACACACATATGTCTTAATGACCATAATAAAAGCTGTTTTTACTGGTTTATATGTCTTGTACTATGCTTTTTATCGAAAACATTTCCTGCATAGGGGTCATCTAACCTGGAAGTCAGCAGTCACCTTGGTCTTCAGGATCCTGACCCATTGATCACCAGCCTCTGTGACACTGGCCTACATCATCCATAGTCACCACAATGGCCACCCTGAAGAAAACTCCTGCAGGGACTCGTGGCTGCAACCATCACACCAATGACAGAGAATGGAGAGATCAACTTACCAGTAATTGGTCAATATGTGGGCTATCCTGTGGAAGAGCAAAAAGTGAAGAACATTTTTTGCTTGGATCGAGTGGTGATTCATGTAGGAGCAGTGAGTTTGAAAAAGTCACAAGAACTGGCCAAACATGCGGCAGACTTAGGAGCTGATGACATTGCTGCCATTGCACCTTTATTTCTCAAGCCGTGGAACAAAAGGGCCCTGATTCATTTCCTAAAGGAGGCAGCGGTGGCTGCTCCTGCGCTGCCATTTTATTACTACCACATTACTGCCTTGACTGGGTTGAATATTCATGCTGAAGAGTAGTTGGATGGGATTCAAGATAAGATCCTCACCTTCCAAAGGCCGAAATTCAGTGGCACAAATCTCTCAAACTTTGGGCAATGTGTTGATCAGAATCGCCAAAGGCACTCTGCATTCTTCTCTGAAGTACATGATTAACTTTTGAGTGCTCTGGTTCTGGGAGCCACTGGAGCACTGGGCAGTGCCTGTAATTACCCAGGGAAGAAGGCAAACCAGATGTTAGAAGCTTTTGAAGAGAAGGACTGTTCTTCCGCTCTTAACTAGCAGTTTTCTATCCAGTGATCTATAAACTTTGTAATCAATTTGTGCCATAACAGAGGGGAAATGCCCATCACAAGATAAACAACCCAGTTGAAAAATGGGCACAAGATATGAACAGACACTTCACCAAAGAAGACATTCAGATGGCCAGCAAGCACATGAAGAAATGTTCAAAATCCTTAGTTCTAAAAGAGGTGTAAATTAAAACAACTATGATATATCATCTCACCCCAGTTAGAATATCAAAATCTAACAGAACAGCAAACATCAAATGCTGGCGAGGTTATGGAGAAATTGGAACTCTTATTCTCTGTTGGTGGGAGTGTAAAATGGTGCAACCACTGTGGAAGGCAGTGTGGTGCTTTCTCAAAAAGTTGCAAATATTTTCACACCCATGTTTATTGCGCCTTTGTTCACAATAGCCAAGAGCTGTAAACAACCTAAGTGCCCAGAAGCAAACAGATGGATAGAGAAGCTGTGGTATATTCACACAACGGAATATTATGCTGCATTGAAAAACAAGGATCTCATGAAATACTATGCAAAATTGATGACCCCGGAGGACATTATGCTGAGTGAAATATCTCAATCACAAAAGGATAAATATTGCATAGGGCCACTGTGGTAAAATGGGGTTGAGGGAAGACACAGAAGAAGGGGATAAATGATGTATATTGCACTGAAAAAGATGAGGGAGAGAACTATTTAAAAGGGATATATGACTGGGTATTACTGTCATGACAGGGATATATGATTGGGTATTACTGTCATGACAGGTATTACTGTCATGACAGGGATATATGATTGGGTATTACTGTCATGACAGGTATTACTGTCATGTCCAGGATGAAGGCTGCACAGTGGAGTGGACTTGGGGGGGGAGGGATTGCATAACAATGAAAGAGTTTTACTTTTCAAGAAGAGTGAATTGGGAGGAAGGGATGGACAGGGAGAAAAGTGCAACAATGAATGACTGGAAACCCTAAGTTTCTGTAAACTTTCACTAAAATTAATTTAAAAACAAAAACAACAAAGGGGAAACGCCACCATTTGCTCCACTTCTGCAAGAGATTGACCCTTCCTGAAAGCATGGAGCAAGCAGGAGTCTCTGAAGTGTGTTACTTGGCAGGCCTCCCACCTCCTTTCTGCCTGTTCCTGGCAAGTCTTCCTTCCTCCAACCACTTACTACCTACCTCCCCCTCATTACTCTGCGTTCTCAGCTAGCTCTCTCAATCCCATTTGCATTAACACTTTCATGATTTTTGTCATTTATATCCCACAAGTATTATCAATTACTTAAAATTGTTCCTTCCTAAGTAACACTTTGCATAACATTGTGGGTTTGTGATTAGTACGTGTTTCTAGTGTGCATTAAAATAGTGATTTTTTAAAAAAAGTTTACAATAGTACACTAATTAGTAGTCAGTAGCATCCAATCTTGGGTATCACACCTCTCTTTAGTCTGATAGCATTACCTCATTTAGTTTTCTTTAAAAAATACTAATCAGGATTGATGGAAGATTCATCAACAATCTGTGTTATGTAGATGACACAACCCTACTTGCTGAGACTGAGGACAACCTGAAGCACTTGCTGCAGAGGGTCAAGGACTGCAGCCATCAATACGGATTGAGGCTCCATATCAAGAAGACAAAAATTCTCACCACTGGGCCAATTGGCAGCATCAGGATGGATGGCGAAGAGATTGTTTTTTGGGGTTTTTTTTTTAATTTTTTTATTATTATTAATTTTAATGAATATTTACAGAGACTTCTGATTTCCATTCAGTCATTGTTGAGCTTTTCTCCCTGCTCACCCCCTCTCCCCCCGTACACTCTTCTCTTTGAAAAGTAAAAGAAAAATTCTTTCATTGTTTTACAATCCCTCCCCCAGGTCCACTCCACTATGCAGCCGTCGTTCTGGACTCCTGTCATGACAATAATACCTAATCACATATGCCTTTTAAACAGTTTTCTCCCTCATCTGTTTCAATGCAGTATACATTCTTTACCCCATCTTTCTCAATCTCCCCCCCCCCAACCCCAAGGTCAGTCCTGTTTTACAACAGTGGCACTATGCAGTATTTGTCTTTTTGTGAGTGAGATATTTCATTCAGCATAATGTCCTCTAGGATCACCCATTTTTAATAATATTGCATGGGTTCCTTGTTTTTCAGTGCAGCATAGTATTCCATTGAGTGACTATACCACAGCTTCTCTCTCTATTCATTTGCTGATGGGCACTTAGGTTGTTTCCAACTCCTTGCTATTGTGAAAAAGCCATGATAAACATTGGGTGTGCATATATCTGCTTGGATGTCAGTTATGGTCTCTTTGAGGTATATTCCCAGTAGTGGAATTGGGGGGTCAAATGGTATCTCTATTTGCAATTTTTTGAGAAAGCACCACGCCGCCTTTCACAGTGGTTGCACCATTTTACACTTCCACCAACAGTGAATAAGGGTTCCAGTTTCTCCACAACTTCACCAGAATTTGTTGCTTGCTGTCTTTTTAAATTTTGCCATTCTTACTGGGGTGAGATAATATCTCATAGTTGTTTTTATTTGCATCTCTCTTAGAGCTAGGGATTTTGAACATTTCTTCATGTGCTTGTTGGCCATCTGAGTGTCTTTTTTTGGTGAAGTGTCTGTTCATATC